CAGCATAGAACTGGGAAAATAAACAGCAGACCCCAATCTTATCTAAAGGAATATTGACAACTGATTGCTGCTAGATGAGGATCAGCTGACCTTCCTAAAACAAAGACTTCTAGATAGGCTGACTAGATTCAGCAGATAGACAAGTAATGGGGAATGGCTGGTGGTGCCAACAACACAGCAGACAGTAGCAGGGGTGACAGAGTATAAGGGCCCTAGTGGGGTGGGGGCTATGGGAGGGTACCATCTGGGAAGTGGGTGTATAGTTGAATAAGATGGTTTGGGATGTTCTGTGGGATATATACACACATACACACACACACACACAAATTTTTGTTAACTGTATTATATTTGAGAAGGAAACATAGAAATTTACATCATGCTAATTAGTAGAGGTGATAAACATCACCATTGAAATCTACCCGATGACTTTAGAGACATACACAGGCGCCAAGGATCCAAGTGCAACCGATTATGACTAGTAATAATAAGATAGATACAGATTAGAGATGCATGTGCCAACATCTCAGTGTTAGTAGCAAAAACAATGAGTCTTTCTGCAAGGAACACTATATTCTAAAATAAATGGAGATCTTTTTTAAAGGTTTAAAACTCATTCAACTTCATGTCTTACAGGGCTTATACTGAGTTCAATATTGTGTAACTGTATTAATTCAACTGTGAACCTAGAAACTTTCACCCATTTGTTAAATAGATGTACTCTTGCTCTAGAGTGTGTTACTGAATATGTTAAAGCTGTAGTGAAATGCTTCTTCTAATCATGTAGTTATTAAAAATTAAAAAAAGAAAATTGTCCTGTCCTGACTTTTTTCTGGTTGCCTGTCTAGAACTTGTAATGCTAATTACTCTTGCCTTTACTTCTCCTTCACATCTCTTATTAATGATTCAAAGAGTTTCTTTTCCTCCTCGAGATAAGAGTTATGCAGTTTGGGAGTCTTTCAGATAGACCCAATGAAGGGGTACTCCAGTTGCCTCACCCTGCATCCCTGTTCAGCATGGAAGAACCCAGAGTGGTCTGCATCCCTATTCCCTATTGGCAGTTTGGGTAACCTCTTCAGAGGATGGTGTGATAAGAATAGGAGGTAGGAACTTGCTTGGCAGTTAGTGTAAAAAGATCCCAAAGAAAAGTAGAGAGATTTATGGCTAAAACTCACAATGTCCTTGGGCCTCTTAGCAACTTACTCTGTTTCAAAGGCCAAAAATGTCAAAAGTATTCCGGAGCTTTTATCTAATCCTTAAAAGATTTTAGGGTTACCTCTTTAGAAGGGGGAATGTTAGAGTAGCCAGAGCCCCATAAAAAATAAATTAATTTAAAAAATATATATCTAATCAAGGTTTATCTGAGAACATTTGGTTTTTTTTACCCAAGCTTTATCTACATAGCACATGGTAATTAAAACTACCAGACTGGTGGAACTAACCTTATTGGATATTTAGCAGCCATACTTTGAGGACAGTTTTTGTTCCTTGCCCTCCAAGGTCTACTAAGTTCCAGGGGACTCTGGAACACCTCTCAAAATGTCCTGTAACTGTGGTGAGTCACCTGTCCTCTTCTCAGGGAAGACATGGAGACCCCACCATATGGACTTGAACCAGTGTCCACTAAACAAAGAGGACAGTCAACTCAGAGGAAACATCTCCTCCATGCTTCCAGGTGAAGCCAGACATGGTCAAGCAAGACCTTTGTCTTATTTTCACATAGATGGAACTGGTAAAAGAAAGGAGCCAGGGGCTCCTCCCAAGCCCATGTGACCCCTGAGGAACAGATCCTCAAATGACCTTAAATGTAAAAATAAATTGATTTATTTGGGCCAACTGTATGTCTTAAACACTCAAAAGGAAAGTGTAACCAAAGAGTAAAGGCATCAGTATATTTCTTTAAGAGTTCAAGGGGTTACACTTCCCAGACATTACGCTTAAGTCCATATAAAAAATTATTTAGACAATTATTTTTCATTGATGATTTTGTTCCTAATCAGAGAGTGCTGCTCAGATGCAAGACTTCAAATCTTGGTCTGCAATATTGTAGTGCCCACCTGTAGCTAAGGGAGACAACTCACTATTGTTCTAAAATGATGGATAAATTTATTTTCTCTCTGTTTCTACAAACCTTTGAGAGGGAACTGGCACTGATTCTAACTACTCCAACACCTATCAAAATGCTGAAAGCAAATCCTGAATCCATCACTCTTGAGTCCAACCTTGGCAGAAAAAAGAAAAATGAGGAGGAACCCAATAGAGGGGTGCTTTTGGAAGCCCTTGTCAACAAATTCCAATGGACTCTCATATGAACATTTGAAAATTGCCCTATTCTGACTTTAAAAATAAAAGCAAAAAGAGCTAGGCATGGTGATACACATCTTTAATCTCAGCACTCAAGAGGTAGAGGAGGAGGATCTCTGGAGGCCAGTCTGGTCTACATAGCAAGTTCCAGGCCAGTTAGGACTATAAGGAGACCCTGTCTCAAAAAATAAAATAAAAAAGAGAGCTGGGGATATAGCTCAGTGATAGAGCATTTGCCAAATATGTACAAGGTCTTGGGTTCAATCTCCAGCACTGAAAAAAAAAAAGGAGGTGAGTGGCTCAAAACCAATTTCGAGGTTAGGTGAAAATACCAGTGTTGATTTTGCAACCGCTACTGGTTTATTATTGTTTATTGGTACTCTGGTAATAAAGTTAAATTCTTTTTTATATTTTATTTATTATTTTTATTTTACGTGTATGAGTATACTACCTGCATGTATGTAAGTGCAGCCATGTGTGCAATGCCCATGAAGTTTAGAAGAGGGTGTCAGATTCCCCTGGAACTGGAGTTACAGATGGTTGTTAGCCACCATGTGGGTGCTGGGAATCAAATCTAGGTCCTTTGCAAGAGCAGCCAGTACTCTTAACCACTGAGCCATCTTTCCAGCCCCCAAAGTTAAGTTTTTAATGACCTGTTATAACTTTTTCCTAGGTTTTTTTATTTTTATTAGAAAATTTTGTAGAATGTGGGGCTTTTAGAAACATACACATAGTTACAGCAGAATACCTATAATTTGAAGGAAAACATCTCTAGTCAACAGTCTTGATACCTTAATGTGAGTATAAGAATCACATGTGGGGCTGGAACAATGGTTCAGCTGTCAAGAGCACTGGCTGCTTTTCCAGAGGATCTGGGTTTGGTTCCTAGCACCTACATGGTGACTAACAACCTTCCATATCTCCAGTTCCAGGGGATCAGAAGCTCTCTTCTGGTCTCCATGGGTTCACATGCACATGATGCACTTACATACATGTAGGCAAAACACTCATACACATAAAATACATAAACCAAAAACAATTTTTAAAGAAAGAATCACATGGATTGTTCACTAAAATTGTAGATACAGGCCAGGTATGGTGTTGCACACCTTTAATCCTAGGGCATGGAAGGCAGAGGCAGGGAGCTCTCTCTGAGTATGTGTACAGTCTAGTCTACAAAGTGAGTTCCAGATCAGTCAGAGTTACATAGTGAAACCCTATCTAAAAAAAAAAACAATAAAAATAAAATTGCAGATTCTTAGAAGCTATCCTGAGATTCTGAATGTATAAGACTGGGGTGGGGCAGAGAATCTATGGTTCACAATTCACCAGATGTCCCCAAGGCCATGTGTACTAGTGTATTGTCCCAAATGAGAAACAAGCATTAAGGCCCACATCTGGGGTCAGAAGTCTTCTCCATCACATTTCTTCTCACCTTGATGGTGATGTGCCCACGGACATTTTCCATTTCTCCCAGCATGGCTGATATCAAAGAGGATTTCCCAGAGCCCACAGTGCCCACTACAGCTACCAACTGGCCTGGCATTATGTCCAGGTTGACACTGAAAGAGAGAAATATTTTTGAAGAAAATGGGTGGGTGGAAGGAATAGTTCAAGTCACTCACTTCTCTGACTCTCTATGAAGTCTGTTATTAGATAATATTGCTCTCAAGCTAAAAAATTTGACAGAGATGTATGGCTCCAAAGTACTTCTTTATTATTAAGTCTTAAGAGGATAAAGAATGAGTCCTAATTTATTCAACTCATATAAAACCTTTAGTGTCAAAAGTACATTTCCCACAGGAAAAGTTCTCTTAGGATCAACTAAACAATACCCTAGAAGGTACCTGGAAACCTGAGTTATTTTGGGTCCCAACTCTGACACTGCTGGGTTGGAAAATTTTGGAAGGTCATTTCTTCTAGACTAAGGTTCTTTAATTCTAAACTAATTGAGTTGAACTCTGTAAACTAAATATTATTACTCAATGTTTCTGAGATTTATTCTATCAATAACACTTGATGAAAGTACATTTCCCTTATGAACTACTTCTGAAGATCTAACTTCTCCAGATGAGAATCCCAGGAACTCTGTGTGCCAGTTTGACTATTTAAGTTCCTAAAACATTTAGAACATTAGGATCATGCCCTGTAGTCTTTCTGAACTGTTTTGGACTCTAACAGTGAAGTGGGAACTATGAATAGATTCCTCTCTACAAAGGAAAGCTTTTTGGCTGGAAGGTTCAGAGCAATGGCTTCTGCTCTGACTAATCCTGGGGCTGTCTCCAGAGTGCATTTAGAGGCTAAAGAAGTAGGAGAGGGAACTCATAAGGTGACAGAAGATAAAGTGGTGTGCCTGGTTGCAAAGAAAGAAAGGAATAGCTATCTTGGGCTCCTGGTGTACTTTATGATGTGCTCAGTGGGTAAGGTGGGTGTACTGTTACACATAGTTCTTAACAGGCATCCTGTAAGTAGCAGCATGCAAGAATGGGCTGGCTTACAGCAGTATACCCAGTGAACAGGAGTTAACCCTACAGGCTGGAGTGCAGGAACAGTTTTTTTTGGCATGAAACTCCAGATCTGAAGTTGACTTCGTTTGTTTGTTTCAGACAGTCTTTTCATACAGCCCAGTCTGGCTCCACACTCTTGAACCTTTTTGCAATCTCTTGAGTGCTAAGATTGCAGGTGTGTGCCACCACATTCAGCTCTGAAATTGAATTTTCAAGAAGTAGTTCCTATTGTCTAGTCTGGGGAGAAAACTAGATTCTAAAGTTCAGGTTTTTAAGTGTACCCTCTGTTGTATCTGGAGAACTGGGCCACCTGTCAACCCTGCACTATCTCCACTCATTATCTGGGTGCATCTTCATGAATTCTCAGCTAAAGAGCTATCCACTCACAGCATGAAAGCAGGTGGTAAATATAATTATGGGAAAGAGGCTCAGAATCTTTGCTCTGAGCTCATCCCTCCAGGGATGCACTGATATGTAAGTGAACACAACATAAAGTTGGTTTCTCGTGTTTCATTGCATAGCATTTTCTGAGAACAGGCTAGAGCAGGAGAATCCTAAAGGAAAGCTGGATATCAAGGGAGCAAACTCACTCTTGGATTGTGGCTTCCAAGTCTTGGTCCCAGGTAAAAGAGGCCTCAGAAAACTGCACAGCTTTATCTATTGGAAAGAAAAGGCCCCCTCTTTTAGTCACATGTAGGACCTTACATATCTGTGAGTCCTTCCAAAGCCAGTATGTAGTCATGTTTCTGCTTCCTCTGTCAGTCCCTGGGATCACCTTTTATACTAACAGGAGGCAAATGAATGCTCCCAGGATGAGACCAGAAACAGCCTGCTTATTAGAAGCCTAAACTTGGTATCTCAGATTACAGAGAGCCTATGTATAGTCCTAGGCCCTCCTTTACCCTGTCCCCTTATATGAGTTCTACCTTCCTATGTAAACCCCTCCCCACTCTGGATTCCAGATCCACGGCTTACTCTGGCCATGAGTATCTTCCAATTCAGAATCTGTGTGTTTCACCCCTCACTACCTCCCCAATTCCTCACACTTGGTTTCATCCTGACTTCTGCTTTCTGGGTCCCTTGCAGGATCCCCTCTTTGTTCCCAGAATAGCTGGTTCTCCTTTGCTAATAAATCTAGATAAGCAATCTTCTCTGGGTGAAAACATAATTTAAGCTAAAATAGTATTGCTTATTATTCAAGCCTAAATTGAAGACAAATTCCCTAGCTCCTTCTTTTTTATTGGCTTGCTGCTAAGTCTTTTATATCAAATTTCTGTTGTCAGCACTATGAATAATTTTGGAAACAATTTCCAAATTTGCTTACCAAAACTGCAGACATGGCGAATGGCAGATGTGTCCAAGTCATCCCCTCCCAAATACTTCTCCAGGCGGTCTATGGAAACACTGGCCTAAAGAAGGACACAAAAGACCTCAAGCATAACAATTTCAATAACAAACATAAGCAGGGAGAGGATTTTGACTTTGTTATTATCCATGATTTTGTTACAACTGCAGTGTCTTGACAATTACCACAAATTCAGCTATACTTAGCCATGGAAGCCATCCCACCATATCTCTGCCCAGGAAACGATCTCATACTGGACAAAAGGAAATTAAGACACTACTTTCAGCCTTCAGAACACTCAGGGACTTCAACTCGATGGCTATTGCTTTCCAATCTTTGGTCCTGTTTCCAGAAAATGTCTACTACCTTCTTCTATGACAGAACACCTACTTCTGGTAACTGGGCTTCAGTCTTGCCCTTGTTTAATTGCATCTATGCCTTGATGATTCACCCAGTATCTTGATTCACCTGATCTACTACAGGATCCTTTATAAAGGATCTGGCCAATGATTAAATTGCAGCTGGTTTAAGAATTGGCAGAACACCCTGACATTACCAGAACATAAGAACTTGGGGAAGTTTTCAAGGAACATCCACATGGATGTTTTTCACTGGCCTTCCTATCATCTAGGAGAGCTATCATGAGATAATTTCTCACAGATACCCAGCCTCTGATGAAGTATTAGGCTTTCTTCCTGTTCCTTCCTTAGGTTACAACTACAGAGTGTAAAACTGCTTAGCTGCTTCATAGAGCAGCAGTTCAGAAACAGAATGGCCCAACGCTCATGTTGCATCATCATCAGACCACTTGTTGTACTGTATGAAAAGAAAATGTATGGAGTGGGCACCTTTGCTGATCTTGCTTATGTTCTTTATATCTTAAAAGAGCATGACAGGAAGGCCATCTCTTAGCCCCCAGCCCTTGTACAGCCAGAGTTGTCTGAACCTCGCTCCCTCTAGAATGAATACAGGTCAACACCTGTATCCTCTTCCATCACTGTGGTCTTGTCACCAGTCTGCCATCTGCCTTTTGAACTTCCTCTTGAGGTCTAGTTCTTGGTCCATTTCAATGACAAAGTTCAGTTTTTAGAACATAAACATTGCCTTGGGCCCATTTAAGGTTTCCTAAAATTTAAACTCATTTTCTGACAGATTGCGGCTCCCAAATTTACTACCATCTGTGTTCACAGAAAGACAGAATCCTTTCTCTTTCTTTGTGCCATATTTGTCTACTTTTATGTCAATACTTCAAAAACCTTAGAAAAAGAAGGGAGAAACTAGTCTGGGAAAAGGGGCTTATACCAAGTATAATCATAATAGTTTCACTAAATAAGAGGTGGATGAGGGACTGGAGAGATGGCTCAGTGGTTAAGAACACTGGTTGTTCTTGCAGAAGACCCGAGTTCGAATCCAAGCACCCACATGGCAGCTAACAACTGTCCGTAACTCCAGTCCCAGGGGATCCGACAGCCTCTTCTGATCTCCATGGGCATTGCACGACATGGGTGCACTTACCGACATGCAGGCAATACATGCATACACATAAAATAAAAATAATAAATAAAATTTTTTAAAAAGAGGTAGATGAGGCTGGTAGGATTAACCTCATTTTAGTCAAATAGATAAATCAGAGCTCAGAAAGTTTGTGATTTTTTTTTTAAGATCAAACCACTGTTCTCTAGAGACCAGAGAGATTTCTAATTGAAAATTCACTAATAGAAGCTAGACATGCACTATAGTAGACTAGTAATTCTGGACTATTAGGCATTTAGCTAAGCAGTTAGCAGTGGCGTTCCTATGTACCTGGAGCATGGCAGAGATCACCATGGGAAGCATGCCGAGGGGAAAACGTAAGATATTGAAGAGGGTTATGGAGGTGAAAGCCTTTTCTGCATCCAAAATATTGTTGCTATCCACCAGGACATAAACAGAAAATGTGATCACAGACACCTGGAAGGAACAAGATCATGAGCAATGTGTTACTAAAATGGTGCAAACAGCCTTGTACAAAGCTTCAGGAACACTGTACATCAGAGCTGAAGGACTCCTAGGGATTATCCCAAACTCCTTATATTACCAGTGAGAAAAAGGAGCTTATCAGAGGAAGAAATATCTCCTCCAAGGTGACAAAGTTAATGGATTGCTAAGGTCAGAATTTGGGCCTTCTGGCTCTTTCACCATACCCACATTACCTCCCCCAAGAAGAGAAGTTCTCCTACACAAGTCATTTTGGGGAACCATATTCATGATGAATGTCCTAAAAACTTGCTCTTGGCTACCAGGTCAACAAACAGCACAGAAGGAGTAGAACTAGAGTTGAAAATACAAAGTAAGGGTGCTGACATGAGAGTTTGAGGAAGGGGGAGCAAATTCCCTGAACTTGGGGATCAAGTCTATAGGTAATTGGAACCTATCAAGAACAGATCTTCCTTTTCAGGAGGCTGACCTACCCAGTTTATAAAATCTCCTACTCACCAGGACTGGAGTTAACTGTAAGATGAATGTAATCACAGTCTGCAGCTGGCCATATACCAGCAAGTTCTTGAGCTCTTTCTTCCGAAGGTTTTGGACTTGGTCTTTGAATGAAGGTTCCCAGGCAAAATATTTCAGGATCTAATAGGTAGAGAATAGTTGTTGCTTGAAAGGGCACCAGATACATATTACACACCCATGTTTTAGAATATGCTCCCCAAAATCTAAAGGCTGGATCTAGTTTATAAAGAATGTATACAGAGAGGCAGTTTGTATTTATTGACAACCTGCTATACATAAAGCATTTTACATATATTACTTCACTTAATTTTTATCAGACTGTCTCAGTTTACCTGCCTAAATAAATTTGCCTAACAACATAGGACTTCCCTTGTTAAAGCTTAGAAATTTCTGAAAAAACCAAGGTGAATTAGTCACCCCACTTTTGTAGAGTTTTTCTTTTGTTTGTTTTGCTTTCACTTAAACAATAAGAAAATGGACTGAAAGAGTCTAAGCAACTTTCCCAAAGTCATCGAACAATAAGGGGTAGAACTGAGATTCAGAGCCAGGTCTACCTTTTAATTCTAGCATATTAACAGAAAGACTGAATTAGAACTCTGACTTGACGAATAACAAGGAGCTAAAACAGGACACTGATTCTTCATTTTAAAGAATTTTGGACAATGTTAAAATCCACTCACTCAAAATAGCATTTTCTTTTTTAAAAAGGCCCTAACTAGTCACCTTTAAATGGTATAATGCATTATTTTGAAAGCTGATCTTGCCTATCCTTCATAAACTTCATTTTTGGAAATGAATCAGTTAGTAAAAGAGAATTCTTCACAGAAATGCAGCCAACCAACCATTTCATAGAAAATCAGCCAAGTCAGGTAGTTGATATCAAATGAACAACAGAAGTATAATATCACTCTTTCCAAAAAACAAAAACAAAAACCAAAAAACTCAACCTCCTGTGACTTCTAATGAATAATAATAGATCAAAGCAATAGCCATAAAATTTGTATAATCATAACAAACTTGGCTAAATATTAGAATCATCTAGGGAGCTTTGAGAAAATATTACCTATGCCTAGGCTCCAATTCAAGAAAATCTGATTTAAATTATTTTGGAGTATAACCTCAATCTTAGTGGGTTTTACAAACTTTTCAGGTGATCATTATATACTACCAGGGTCATAAACCACATTTGATGTAAAAGAATAAACCAGGCTGACAATACCTGAACCCACTGAACAGTCATCACTGCCCTATTTTGAAACTTGGTATCACTTGCAGATAACTCTCATAAATAAAATCTAACTCTAATCAAGCCTCTAGATCTTACTACCAATTTTTTTCCTTTGGTCTTTTTGAGATAGGGTCTCCCTATAGCCCCAGCTGGCCTGGATTCACTATGGGGACCAGGCTGGCCTTGAACTCATAGAGATCTGCCTGCCTCTGCCTCCCAAGTGCTGGGATTAAAGGTGTGCGCCACCACACCTGGCTGATTATACTACCAATTTATAAAAAGAACAGGAAACTACAAAAATAGTGTGGTTTTAAAAATATGATATGGGGGCTGGAAAGATGGTTCAGTGGTTAAGAGCACTGACTGCTCTTCCAGAAGACCCAGATTTGATTCTCAGCACCCACATGGTAGCTAACAACCATCCATAACTCCAGTTCCAGGGGATCCTACATATTCTTCTGACCTCTGCAGGCACTGCATGACATGGGTACACTTACATACTGCACAACATGGGTATACTTATGTATATGCAGGTAATGCACTCATACACATGAAATAAAAATAATAAAAAATATGATGTGGGTAAACAGCTGTACAGTAAAAGCACTACAAACTAAATGCCATCTTTGAACAGTTTAAGATCTTTATTCAAAGTAACCAGCAGTTTAAAAAAGAAGTGTAAGGCAATTGGCGAAATTGGAGGCATCAAAGAATTATTATTAATTTTTAGGTGATAATGATATTATGGTTGTCTTAAAGGGAAGTCCTTCTTTTAGAGATATATACAGGTGTGAAGTTTTATATTATTTTTAAAACAAATCTCAGATATCTTGTCATTTCATTCATACTTTGTATCTCTAAAAGATACATCATATACTGAACCTACAGGCAAAGAAGAGGTCAATGTGGAGTACAGGGTTCTGAGGAAACTACCAGGAAAGAATTTACCACTTCCCCTTCCCCATCCTCCAGAACCACAGGGATCACAGTGGCTGCAGAAACCTATGGCTCCCACTCAACCTTTCCCCAAAAGCTCTAAGTAGGTCCTGCTAGAGCCAGAGGGATCTAAGGAGTTCACCTTTCAACTCAGCACAGCTGTGTCAGCAATTCACTCCATTAGTATTCTTTTTATTAAAAGTTTTAAAGCTTTTTTCTTTTTATTTTCTTATGTGTATGAGTGTATTGCCTGCATGTATGAAAGTGCACTTGTGTCATGCAATGCCCACAGAGGTCTGAAGAGGGTGTCGGATCCCCTGTAACTGAGTTATGGATGGTTATTAGCCACCATCTGGGTGCTGGGATTTGAACCTGGGTCCTCTGTGAGAACAGTCAGTGCTCTTAACCACTGAGCCATCTCTCCAGCCATGCTAAGCATTCTTTTTATTTCTTATTTTCTATTATTTAATCTCCACTCTTATATATACATCTCATGATAGTCTTGCTTTTGTCTGTATATTGCTGAGTTAGATTTTAGGATTGTTGTATATGTTTTCACTCAGTCAACTGTAAGTGGTGCTTTTTTTCTTTTATTGAGCAAGGTTCTCACTATGTAGCCTTGCTAGCCTAAAACTCAGTATGTACACCTGGCCTCCAATTCATAGAGATCTGCCTGTCTTTGCTTCTGCCTCTGCCTCCTGAGTGTTGGGATTAAAGGTGTGCACCACCATGGCTGGCAAGGCCTTCTTTACTTTTCACCCACATCTCACATACTTCCCCTCTTATTTCTGTTTTTCTCCTCTTTTATCATCCTTATCCATCCTCTTTTTACTTTTTAAAGAAATTATTAAGTTATTTATTTATCACATATGTGTGTGCATGTGTGTGTGGGGGGGTACATGGCAGATCTATGGAGGTCAGAAAACAAGAACATATTCTCTTATTCCACCATGTGGATCCTAGAGATGAATCGGGTTGTAAGGCTTGGCAGCAAGTGCCTTTTCCAATAGAGTTATCTCACTGGCACCTTTTTACTTCTGAATTATAACCTTCCATAACTTTAACAATCTCTACATCACTGGACTCTATCAGTATCCTAACTTTCTTTTCCCAGCTACTTTACCCATTTCAATTTTTTTCTTTTCAAAGTTGACCCATCCTACATCCCTCCCACTCCTAATCTAATTAACCGAAGTCAGAGTATAAACCATATTATCTTTGGGCTTGTTATTCCTCCAGCAATTACTGAAGTCAAAGAGCCACCGTTATTAAATGGCTAGCAAACATTTGTAGAATAGGAATATTTGGCAGCTGTGGATGTTTCTGCAGTTAATATTCTACTCAGGGAACAATTCAGAGTATTTGTCAGGCACTGTGATCTCCTGACCTGAGGAACTATTTTCCGAGCTGTGCACCTGAACTCTACCACATTCAAGTCCCAAGTGAACATAACAAATTCTTCAACTGAAAGAATATAGCTGATAAAAAAAAATCCTAAGCAATTGAAATCACCCCAGATGCATATGTCTCAACTCAGTAACACAAAGAACAAACAACAAAAACCCCCACAACATAACAAAATTTGCTAATCATACAGTGATGGCATTCATCAAGAATGAATTAGATGAAGCCTCAGACAGAGAACTCAAAAGAATGATTTTAAGTATGTTCAAAGAAATCAAAATAAGTTCCTGATTGAGAGTACAAACAAACACATGAATGAAATAATGACAGTAATGTATTTGTTGAGGTTTGTTTTGTGGCCCAGTAAGTTCCATGGGGTGCTGAGTAGAAAGAGTATTCTTTGGCGCTTGGGTGGAATATTCGAAAGACGTCTGTTAGGTCCATTTGAGGTATGGTATAATTTAATTCAGATGTCTCTCTGTTTATTCTTTGTCCAGTTGACCTGTCTAATGGAGAAAGTGGAGTATCAAAGTCCCCTAGTATTACTGAGTTGGGGTTAATCTGTGTCTTAAAGTCTTGTAGCGTTGTTTTTATGAATTTGGGTGCACCAGAATTTGGTGCATCTATGTTAAGGAGTGGAATATCTTCTTGGTTAACTGTTCTTTTGGTCAGAATGAAGTGACCCTCCTTATCTCTTCTGATTAGTTTTATTTTGAAGTCTATTTTGTCAGATATTAGAATTGCAACCCCTGCTTGTTTCTTAGTGCCATTTGCTTGGAATATTATTTTCCATCCTTTTACCTTAAGGTAGGGCCTGTTCTTCAAGGTGAGGTAGGTTTCTTGCAGACAGCAAAGAGATGGATTTTGTTTCTTAATCCATTCACTCAGCCTGTGTCTTCTGACTGGGGAGTTCAGTCCATTGATATTTAAGTTTATTATTGAAAGATGTGTATTGGTTGTCATCATTTTAATTGCTGTTTGTGTTCTCTAATTTTGGGTTTCCTAAATTATGCCTTTATTTATTTTCTTTTGTTGCCCCTGGGGTGTAGTTGTTTCTCTCTCTGCTCTCTGTATTGCTTCAAGTATTCTTTGAAGGCCTGGTTTTGTCAACATGCATTCTTTCAGGATCTTTTAAAATATTCTGCGCTGGCATCTATTGTCATGTAGAACTGGAAATACCTTAGTCCAGGCTCTTTTGGCTTTCATAATTTACAACGATAAGTCAGCTGTAATTCTGATGGGCTTTCCTTTGTATGTGACTTGTTTTTCTTTTGCTGCTTTCAGTATTCTCTCTTTGTTCTGTATATTTAGTGTTTTTACTATGATGTGTTGTGGAGAGATTCTTTTCTGAGCCTATTTGCTGTTCTATGTGCTTCCCGTATTTGTATGGGGATGTCTTTCCTTAATTTTGGGAAATTCTCTTCTACAATCTTGTTTAAGATCTGGTCAACACCATTGTCCTGAAATTCTTCTCCTTCCTCTATGCCTATGATCCATAGATTTGGTCTTTTCATGGTGTCTCACATCTCTTGCATATTTCATTCCTGTTTTTTTTTTTAATTTTCCATAATCTTTGCTTGAGTGTTCCAATTCTTCAACTTTATCCTCCAGTGTTGATATTCTGTTTTCCATTTCATTCATTCTAGTGGTGAGGCTTTCCCCTGCTGTTTCTAGTTGTCTTATTGAGTTTTGCACTTCCTCCTTCATTTCTGCCTGAGTTTTCTTCAATGTTTCTATCTCTTTTGTGAATTCATTCAAAAGTTTATCCATATCTTCTTTTAGCTCTTTGATTTGTTTGTTCATGTGTTCTTTAAATTCATTTAATTCCTTGATCATATTTGTAATTGTTCTTTTAAATTCATTGTCCTGGGTTATCTCTAGGGGGTTCTCCTTGTAGAACTCTTCTACAGGATTGGTGGAGCTTGGTGGGGACATAGTGTTTTGGCTTTCCATTTTATTATTCTTTCGTTGTGATTTTGGCATGTGAATTTCTTTTGTTGTTTATGATTCTGATATGAAAATATAGTTGAAGTATGCTTCTGTATGTATTATTGGGGTGCCTAGATCCTTTCTTTGTTGGTTATGTAATGCTGGTTGGTATAGGGTTCAGGTTCTCTCAGGTTTAATTTGGAGGGAACCGATGGCTTCAGATCAGCTATTCAGGAGTACCCACAGAAGCTCAATTCAGGTTCCATTCAGGTACACTCAGGCTTCCTTCACCGCATAGAGGCAGGATCTGGGGGCTCTCAGCCAGTCCCCTGTGTTCTCAGGCCCTCTGCCCAACAGAACTCGGTACTCTCTCATAATGACAGTGATGTAAGCCATGAAAGAGGAATTCAACAAAGAGATAGAAATACTGAAGAAAAACCAGCCTGATATGTGGGAAATGAAAAAACATCGTAAGTCAAATAAAAAACTCTGTAGAAAGTTGCACTAATAGAATGGATCAAGGAGAGGATAGACTAGCTGAGCTTGAAGACAAGATGATGAATTGGAACAATCCAACATGGACAAAGATAAAACAGTAAGCTATCAATGGAAATGTGAAGATATATACAACACCATGTAAAGAACAAATGTATGGGTTATGGGCATAGATGAAGGAGAAGAATCATATTCTAAAGATACTGAAAATATTTTTTTAATTATTTTTTATTTTATGTGTATGATGTATTGTCTGCATGTATGTAAATGCAACTGAGTCGTGCAATGCCTTCAGAGGTCAGAAGAGGGCATCAGATCCCCTGGAACTGATGTTATGGACAGTTGTTAGCTACCATGTGGGTGCTGGGAATCAAACCCAGGTCCTCTGCAAGAGCAGTCAGTGCTCTTAACTGCTGAGTCATCTCTCCAGCCCCATAGAAAATATTTTTAAAACAATTATAACAGAAAATTTCCCAGAGTTAGAAAAAGAGATGCCAATCCAGAGAGAGGAGGAATTTAAGAGGGCTGGAGAAATGGCTCAATGGTTAAGTGCACTGACTGCTCTTGCAGAGGACCCAGGTTTGATTCATATAGGGGCTAACTACTGTCCATAACTCCAGTTCCAGGGGATCCAATGCCCTCTTCTGGCATTGCATGACATGGCATTGCATGACATGAGTGCACTTACATACATGCAACTAAAGTAGTCATACAAATAAAATAAAAATAAAAAAAAATTTTTTAGTACATGTGCTGCCAAAGTGAGCACATAAATACATTTTTAAAAAGAAGGCATTTAGGGGACACCAAACAGACAGGACCAGAAAAGCTTCTACTCATCATTTTATAGTCAAAAAGACCAAAAAAAAATACTAAATACACAGAGCAAAGAAAGTTTATTGAAAGCAGAAAGAGAGAAACAAGAAGTCACATATAAAGTCAGGCTCATTAGAATAACAGCATATTTGTCAACTGAAATTTTAAAAAGTCACAAGGGCCTACAGAGATGTATTTAAAGTTCTGAAAGTCAACAACTGTCAGTACAGACTACTATACCCAGCAAAGCTATCTGTCATAATTGGAGGAAAAGTAAAAACTTTCTATGATAAAAATAAAGGCAAAGGAATTAATGACTACTAAGCCAGCTCTACAGGACCCCTTCAGACTGAAGAGAAAAAAATCCATCCTCCAGGCCACAGGAAACAATAAGGCACATTAGAATAGTAGTTAAGCAAGAGAGATATAGGAAAAAAACCCAAACACTACAAAATCAACAGAATAACAGGAATCAATACACACATTTTAATAATAATTCTTAATATTAATGATCTCAAATTCCCAGCCAAAAGACACAGACTAGTAAATTAAATCAAACAGCAGGAAGCACTTATTTGTTGCCTCCAAGAAATACACCTCACCTCAAAAGACAGGCACTACCTTAGGATTAAAAGATGGAGAAAAGTATTCCAAGCAAGTGGACATAGGAAACAAGTTGGTATCACTGCTCTAACATCTGACAAAATAGACTTCAAACCAAAACAGTAAGAAAAGATAAAGTTACTACATAATGATTAAGGGAACAATCCATCAAGAGATTAAAGGGATTTAACAGACATCTACAGAAACATTCTATCTGAACACTGCAGAATGCACATTTTTGCTTAGTAGGCCATGGAACTTTCTCTAAAATAAATCATATATTAGGACATATACACAATAGAACTTTATTAAGCTTCAAAGAAAAATAAAATTATGAAAATTTCAGGAAAATAGCTAGAACTAGAAAATATACATACTAAATGAGGCAACACAGGCCCCAAAAGATAAATGCCACATGTCCTTTGTCATATGTGGGTCCTAGCTTTGAATTTTTAGATTTGTGTGCTTAATTTGAAGTGTCTGTGGAGATTGAAACTAGCAAGGGCCCATGAAGGGGGAGGGAAAGAAACTTAAACAGTAGAGGGGAGTGTAGAACACATGAGATACAAAAGTTGAGTGAAAGTAGGCCAAGGGGGCAGGAATACTGGGGGTAGAAAAGTTTAAGCATGGGTGGGGGTTGGGGAGAAGAGGGATAGGAAGAAGGTTAACTAAAACGAAGAACGTGTGGGAAAAAAAAACTTATAAAAACCCACTGCTGGGGCTAGAGAGATGGCTCAGTGGATAAGAGCACTGACTGCTCTTGCAGAGGACCCGGGTTTGATTACCAGCACCCACATGGTGGCTACGAACCATCTTTAACTTCAGTTCCAGGGGAATCCAAAGCCCTCTTCTGACCTCCGCGGCATTGCATGACACGGGTGCACTCACATACGTGCAGGCAATACATTCATACACATAAAAAAAACCCCACTGCTTTGTAAGCTAACTAAAAATATAAAGGACTTTGAAGTGAGGTACCCTGCATGGGTAGATAATGCTTCTTTTAGAAGCTTTGGGTTATTAATCAAAATTCCCCGTGCCATGCATGGGATACATCCTTATGAGTTGCTGATTGGGGAGACTCCAGAGGCCATCAAAGCAACACAGGCTATTGCCATTGCTCTTGGTTGCCCGCCAAAACTAAATGGTAAGACTCAATTGCTGAAGACACCACACACTTTGCAGAATATGAAGAAATTAAGCTGGAACTGATATGGAAACTTCCCTGTTGACTAGCTTTCCTAATGCCAGATGCAGCAACATAGACCATTGATGGGTAAGCCATCAATGGTCTTACCCACAGTGGACCCTGCATGCTACAATACAAACTTACCAGGCAAGATGTGCCCCTGGTGTAAGAGTGGCATGAATGTTACAGGAATAAGCAACTGCATTCTGATTTGATCTGAGACCTGCTCCACTAGAAGGAAATGATATTTGGCACTGTAAACCTGGTCAAAGGCCCATGGCTGCAGAGGTTATAGATTTTGGTGTGGCGGGGGGGAACCTACTACTGATGTTTTGCTAAAGGGACATATTGTCAAACTGCCATGTAGATATTTATACTTATTCCCATAGATTAGTGTTGCTCTGAGCCTTGATCAGAGAAGCTTCTTTTTGCAGGGATAGTGGTTACTGCGGAGACTCATAACTGGTCAAAGTGCTGAGAATAAACGACTGTTGAGTGTTCAGCCCTAAATGAGATATCTCTATCACCACCCCAAGGCTTAGGGAACATCATGGAAGAGGGGAAAGGAAAGAATGTAAGAACTAGGGAATGAGGAAGAGTGCTGTGAAATACTGTCTTTTGGACATGGCATGGTTGCTACACTCACAAACTCATAGGAGCTGTCATTACCTGTACAAGACCTGAACAAGATCAAGTCAGTCAGAATTTCAGCATGGATGGGGAAGGGACTCATGAGGCCCCACCCCTAAAGCTATTGGTAGTTCATGGCTGCTAGGGAAGGAGGAATCTTTTTTTCAGGGTTATAGCCATTGTTAAATTGTTTATGATCCAGTGAATAACTCTAAATTCATCCACATGTAAGCAACCCTAATTAAACTTTAAAAAAAGGGGAGTGTATGCATGTGCGCACATTTGTGTGTGTTGTGTGTGTATGTGAATATGATCAAAATACATTATATACATGTATGAAATTGTCAAAGATTACATAAAATATTTTTAAATTGTCTATGGTAAAATGTAAAAACAAAACAAACCATTTAGGGTAAATTAATAGAAACTGAGGTTCAAAAGAATGCCTAAAAGGGATAGGAGAGGAAACAGGAGTCTTGCGGGTAAATGAATCAGTATGAATGTGATATCCAACAGGCCAAGACAGTGACTGCTTTTGTCACTGCACCAGAGGATTGCCTCTGCTAGGCTTCTTACCTTAATTCCATTGAGAATCTCATTCATGATTTTTAAACGTCTGTCTTTATACTTCATATTTTTGAACTGGCAAGAGAAAGAAAAACAAAAATAAAACACACTTCTGTGAGAGAGGATCCAGGTTTGGGGCTGATGGTAAGCCTCAGTGGAAACTGTGCCTGTTATTTAATATGATCTTGGGGTGCCCCATGATAGCATTCATCTTCATCTCTCGTCAACTCTTTTTTGCCCATTCAGCTTTTCCCATCCCTATCCTTGTTCTGACCCTTGAAGACGCCAAGGTTGTTTCTAGCCACTCTCCCCCAGCCCTTGTCTGACTGTACTCTTCCCTCAGGTTGTTCTTCCTTTACTGTTCCCAAGGTGCATTCCTTCAAGTCAGGATGTGTATCTCTTGACCCCCTAATAGAAAAGAACTACCCATTCACTATCATTTGACACTTAGCTGTCTGTTTCATACTTCTCATGACCTGGTATTTTTCTTCTTTGTTGCCTATCTCTCTGCCCCTCAAGCAGAATATTCTTGAGAGTAGGATCCTTGTCTATTTTGTTGCTATGTTCTCACAAAAGTTAAGATATACAACAGTTTTAAAACAATTATTTGTTACTAGATGAATACAAAACAAGTGAATGACTAGATCACATACTCTAGCAGTTCCACCTACTCAACCTGTGATTACTAGTAGAGCTAAGGACTGTCTGCCTGGAGCATGACCACCTGATAGCAGCAGGTGATTGTCAGGACTTAGGCTGAAAGTGTAATTACCTGTGTGACTGCTCTGTCTAGGTGATTTGTTTTGCTATGATGGAGAAGTGGAATAAAGATCACTGCTGTCAGGGCTGGAGAGATGGCTCAGTGGTTAAGAGCACTGACTGTTCTTGCAGAGGACCCAGGTTCAATTCCCAGCACCCACATGGTGGCTACAAACGTTCCAGGGGAATCCGAACCCTTTTTCTGACCTCTGTGGCATTGCACCACATGGGTGCACTCACATACATGCAGGCAACATACACATAAAATAACAAAATGTTTTTTTAAAAAATCATTGTTGTCAAGGAAATCCAGCAGAGCAAGATGGAAAAGTTATATACTGAGTCTCCAGACAAGGTTTTCCCTCTCCAATCAGCATCTTCCCTCTAATCATGAATGAAAACAGAGTATATAAACCCTAAGAGTGGTCAGAAGCTAAAAACAAAGATAGAAAGTGAAGTACATTTGGGATGGTGGAAAGTCTTCTATAAACTTTGTCCTTCCATAACTCTCTCTAAGAATTAGTAGCTTAAGTAAAAGAGTTTAGATGTTATAGGTCCGGGTGTGGTGGCACATGCCTTTAACCCCAGCACTTGGGAAGCAGGGGCAGGCAGATCTCTATGAGATCTAGTCCATCTGGTTTACATTGTGAGTTCAAAGCCAGCTGAGGTGACAGGGAGATCCTATCTCAAAAAACAAAGGGGGAGGCTGTAGATACACAGGTGTCTATTTCTTTACCTGAATATTCTTGTTTTTGGTGGCCAGTACTCCATTAACTGGGACTAGGAGAACCATCATCCCAACACCTGCTAAGACTGAAGGTCCCAACTCTCTCCATAGGAAGTAGATGGATAAGACAATCTGTATAACACTTGACCACACCAAGTGCATGAAGTTGGTTACATTCATTAGCTTCTGGGCATCCACAGACATCAGGTTCACTGTTTCTCCAATGGTGTACTGCCTCCTGGCCAAGTTAGAGAGGGTCAGTGCCTATAGATAAAGATGAGGATTGGCATCAGTGAATAAAGCCGAACATACCAGGGGACTGACGAGGAACTCGGAAATAAGAACACAGAAGATGAGCTCCATACAGACATAAGTTCTCCAAGGGACTATGACTTCTTGCCTCCAAATTTACACAGTGTTTTCTCTTTCTTTACTTTCATCACAACCAACCAGGATTATTTTGCTTTTCTATTTACATATCAGATGTAAAATGTGAGGACAAGGGCTACATTTACCCACTTAATGTTTGTATTATGTGGCACATCATAGGGAATCCAATACTGAAGAATGGAAGAAAAGCAGGGAGTGAAAAATGGCAGGAAAGAAGGAAGGAGGGAATCAGCATTGTTGATTCTGGCTCTGTGAACTTAAACTTTTTGGGGGGAGGGTCCTTTTGAAACAGGGTCTCCCTGTAGCCCCAGCTGGCCTGGAACTATGTAGACCAGGCTGGCTTTGAACTGACAGAGATCCACCTGCCTCTGCCTTCCAAGTTTTGGGACTAAAGGCATGTGCCACCACACCCTGCTCAGGTTTAAATTGTTTTATTACATTTTATTTATTTTGTGTGTATGGCAGGGGGCGTCATGGCCATTAGGATTGCTGGCAGGTGCCTTTATCTGCTGAGCCATCTTGGTGGCCCCCTTGTAGACTTATGATGTGGCTATTTCCAGCCATAGTCTTACAGTTAGAGTGCAAGCATTTCAAGAAGGATAGAGATTTTAGAATGGAGAGGAAAGTGGAGAATTCACAAGTTTGGAGTAAAATGCTGTTCTAGTTTGTCTCTCCATTGCTGTGACAAAACACTCTGACTGCTACCAACTTGGGGAGGAAAGGGTTGATTTGTCTTACATCTCCCAGGTCACAGTTCATCAGGGAGTCCAAAGTAGGAACTCGGCAGGAACCTGGAGGCAGGAGCTGAAGCACAGGCCATGGAGGAACGCTGCTTACTGGCTTGCTCTCCTGGCCCCAGCTCAGCCTGCTTTTTTATGCAACACAGGCCCACTTACCCAGGGTGGCACCACCTACAGTGGGCTGTGCCCTCCCACATCACTCAACAATCAAGAAGTTGCCCCACAGACATGGCCACAGGGCAGTCCAATGGAGGCAATTCCCCAATTGAGGCTCCCTCAACCTAGGTGTGTCAAGTTGACACTGAAGTTATCCAGCACAAATGCTTTCTCTATTGTTAGGAATTTGCAGGGCAGTCATGCCTGAAACTTGTAGTATGGGCCTTTTGTTTTCATGTTAGGGAAATCAGGAAGCTAATACTCAAGGTCTGTTCCTTTCAATGCCTTACAGAGCTAGGCATAGTAGTTCACACCTGTAATCTCAGCACTCAGGAGGCTAAAGCAGGAGAACTGCCTCAAGATTAAAGTTAGTTGAGGCTACACAGTGAATTCTAGGCCAGCCTGAGCTGCAGTGTGAGATGCCGATCAAAGCAAAAATAATGCTTTGCACAAATGCTCTAGAGCAACGAACTAGCTTATACTGTTTTCACCAAGATACCATCTGGTATAGCCTTCATTCTTCCAGAAGGGAAGCATTCTAATAACCAGAAAGGCAGTGTGTGGGCTGTGTATGTAAGTGGCCCTAGGTACCCAGCTCCATTCTCCTCCTAGAAACTCTATGATCATCTAAATCCATGAGTACATTTTTGGGAGGATCATAATAAGAGTCTTGATTGTAAAGAGAAATCTCCTAAAATGTTTGGCCATAAAGATTCTAGAGGAATCAACCCATTGTTATACATCCCTGTGGTATGAAAAAGCAAAACAAAAATAAAAACAAGCATCCAATCAATTACCTTTCAAGGTAATCATTTCTTTTCTCAATAAAAATCTCAATAATGTAGAAATATCACTGATTTCGTTCCAATAGCCTTTGTCTGAGACAAGCCCTGGCTATGTGATTGTAGGCAATTAATTCATCTAAGCCTTATTATTCTTTGTGAAATAAAAACCATGTGTCTACTTCACATGGATATTGATAATAAATATGAAAAATGCTTTATAAACAGTAAAGCATTGTTTAAATACACAAAATTCGTAATTTTCTTTTATTCTTTTAATAGCAATATTTAGTTGAATGAAAATGACATCTTTATTAATTGTAATAAAACCTGGAACACATTAAGAATCAAAATAGTAAGAACAAATAATCAGAATTTTAAAAAATCTTTTTGAGACAGGGTCTCCCTGGAGCCCCAGCTGACCTGACCTGGACCTCACTATGTACACTAGGCTGGCCTTGAACTCTGCCTCTAGAGTGCTAGGATTAAAGGCCTGTACCACCATGCTTGGCTGAATAATCACAACGTTAAACATGTATGTTTGTGTGTGTGTGTGTGTGTGTGTGTGTGTGTGTGTGTCTGTGTGTGTTGGTTTTCCATGACAGCAATCAAATCTAGTACCTCACACATGCTAGGCAAGTACTTTGAACTATATCCCTAGTCCCTCATATTTTTTAAAGACTATATTAGTGGACATAGGTGAGACAGCTTGATTAGTGAACTCATAACCTAAAAGCCAGCAAAATTTCAGTAACTCTAAAATGAATAAACAGTTAAAAAATGAACTTGGGAATAGAAACTCCAGTGTGATGGTGTCTGAAAATTCAAAGGACTTGACCTTACTTTTGATCAAAAGTCACTGGATAACCTATTAGTCTCTTTTAGCCTATTAGTCTCAATATCCACTTACAGAGGACAAAGTTGCCTTATGTTTCAAGAGAAGAAAACAAAAAAGTGGGAACTGTATTAAAGAATTACTATCATGGAACCTTTCAGAGAAGAGAAGACAGGGAGAAACGGCAACTGATGTTCTGACTTACATAAGTCCTGCCTCCTCAAGCTTGTTTGTAGTCACTGATCATAACTACTATATTTTCAATTTTAGGGATAAAACTGAATCTCATCATGATATCTAGCACATAAAGAAAATAAAGTTTCCCTGAGAAATTATGTATCAGAGTCAGAGAGATGACTCATTGGGTAAAGGAGCTTTCAGCAAAGCTTGACAACCCGAGTATGATCCCCAGGCCCACATGGTGGAGGAGAGAGTGGACTCCTGCAAGTTGTCCTCTGACTCCACACCCATCCTCACCCACATACAAATAGTTGCATCTAATTATATTTATGTGGTTTTATAAATAAATTTAAGTTTTATTTAATTTTTTATGTGTATGTGTGTGCTTATATAAGTTTATATGCACCATATGTGTGTAGGATCCCACTGAACAGAAGAAAGCATCAGATCCTTTAGACCTGGAGTTACAGATGGTTATGAGCCAACATGTTGGTGCTGGGAACTGAACATGGGTCCTCTGTAAGAGCAGCAAGTGCTCTTAACTGCTGAGACATCTCTCCAGCCCCAATAAATGTAATTTTAAAAATTAAAAAAAGAAAACAGCGCTGGGAGTGGTGGCTAGGCCTTTAATCCTAGCACTCGGGAGACAGAGGCAGGCAGATCTCTGTGAGTTCAAGGCCAGCCTGGTCTGCATAACGCTACATGTGGCTACAGGGAGACCCTGTCTCAAAAAGACAGGAAAAAAAAAAAAACCCTACATATCAGAGGAAAGATGAGAAAAATCATCTTAAGCAAACTGAAAGCCTCCAGAGTAAATGGAACTCAGTAATGAGAGATTGTATTTACAATAAATAAATAAATA